GGAGAGGTGTGGGGCACGTGGACAGACTGTCGCGTGCCTAACGGAGGTCGCAGTGGCCACTGCAGGAGCCTGATGACACAGTTGCTCATCTGTGGGACACTATGTCCACTCCAAACCTTGAGGATGAGGCAGTGAGTGTTTTCTAAGAACAGACCAGGGGTGACTTGGCTTGTTCTGAGGCCCAGAGGCCCGAGAGAGAGAGGGCAGCTCAGGGTAATGTTCAGGGTAAACCGGCTCATCCACACAGGCTGCATTCAGAGAGGGGGAGCAGGAGGTGAGCGGGAGAAGTCTTCAGGGGCCAAGCCATGCAGGGCCTTGGCGTCAGGCCAGGGAGCATGGACGCTCCGAGGGCACTGGGGAGCCATGGCAGGACTGTGAGCGAGGGAAGAGCAGGGTCAGCTCTGGGGCTGAGCGGGGACAGACCAGAAGGGGCAGGTGCAGGCGGGAGGAGGCTATGCATGGGGCAGGTTGCAGAGGAGGGGACGGCCCAGAGAGTCAGGGCAGGAGGACAGGGCTAGGGACCGACAGACTGCTGAGGAGGGAGCGAGGATGCTGCCAGGGGTCTGGCCTGGGACTGGGCACACGGCGAGGCCACCCCAGATCTGGAGCACAAGAGAGGGGGACCTGGTAGGCTGGGAGGTGGGGTGAGGGGCTGTAGTGAGTGTTAAAGGGAACACCCAGCTGTTGCGTCCTCTCCGGGGAGAGAGGTCTGGCCTCCTCCGCGTGCCACCAAGCATGACCAGCCCCACTTAATGTCTGAGAATTCAGTGGCATAAGCTTGGCAGAAACAGACAGAAAACCCAAGGTGTGTTTCATCCCCTACGGTCCCTAACACATGCAGTTCCCACATCTCGCCTCCCACCGACGAGATGGCGACTGGTTCCAACGCAGGGACAGACACTGACCGTGCGGGGCCTGTAGTAAGGGAGAGCACAGTCGCACAAAACCGTGTCATCGGTCCTGGGCAGGTCATTTGAGCGATTTCCACGGCTCTGCTGACTTCAGAGGCGTTTCACCTCAGGTCCCGGTGTAAGTTGGGCAGACAGTACATGCCTTTTAAAGACAGCACCCAGCCTGAGGTTCAGTCAAATATTCCGTAGTAGCTAATGTTGAAATGCCTCTTATGGGCCTGGCACAGTGCCAACTGTCTCAAAAACCTCCTGTTGATTTCCAGACCCTTTCCTGTCATCTACTTCATTTCACTGATAGTGCCCCCGGAGGACTTAGGCCTTAGCCGAGGGCTCATAGTTGGTAGGGGACAGAGCTGGGACTGCCCCCAGGCCTGCCGGCTACAGGACCCAGCAGGCTTGAACTCATTTTGTGGATGAATGGAGCAATCGGAGTGGAGGTTTTTAGTGTGAGCCCCCAAGAGCACCGGTGGGCTCTCCTTTCCCTCCTTAGGGACACCAAGGATGGGAAAAGGGGTCCAGCCAAGGAGGGGGCAAAGGGTGGGGAAGGGGTCCGCCCATTAATAGACAGCTGGGCCCCAGACTTGCCCCTCCCCCCATTCTCCTTCCCTCAAAGAGGCTTGGAGTATTTGTTTTCTGTTAACACTTCTCTTGACAATTTAACCTTTGAAACCTTCTTTTTATTATGGCAAAGTTCAAGCAAATGCGGGAATAGAACAGCATGATGAGCTCCCTCGCCGCCAGCCTCCGGCGTCTATAATTATCCACAGTCAATCCGGGTTTCACCTAAAGACTCCCTGCTCTCCCACCGCTGGGTTATTTTGAAGCAAATCCTAAACATATCATCTGGAAATACTTTAGTAGGTGTCTAAAAGATAAGGACTTAAAAAAAAAAGATCATCGTCACAGAAAGTTCCAAGGCTAAAAGGCAAACCAGTGCTGAAAGCTGTCAGTGGCGTCGGAGTCGCTGGGGCGAGAGCGTGCGTGCGTGTGTGTGTGTGTGTGTGTGTGTGTGTGAAATACAAATACCCGGGCTCCGGTCCTGGTCACCTGAACCCAGGAGGTCTGGGGAGAGCCCGGGAGCCCGTGGGAAGGACCATCCCAGGGTTGAGTGACTGGGGGCGGGGTGTATATGGGTGGGGACGTGGCCCCTCCCCCACCCCTTCCCCGTCGCCCGGCTGAGCCCGCGGGCGCTGTCCCACCTGCAGATGTTCGGACAGCGGCGCAGCGTGCAGGCTCTGGAGCTGGCGCACATGCTCTACTATCGCAGCACTTCCAACAACTCGGAGCTGCTCAGCGCCTTGGCCCTGCGCGCGCAGGACGAACATGCCAAGGAGGCTCTGCTGGCGCACAGCTTCCTGGCCCGGCTGCCCCCGGGTGCGCGTGGCCAGCGGGAAGGTAGGATTCGACCCCGCACCCGGTGGTGGGTGGCCCTGCCCTGAGGACCGCCCCTCGCCGCGCCCCTCGCCACGCCCCCTGCCCTTTGAGGCTCTGCCCCCAGACCATCGCAGCCCAGTGGTGACGTGGCCCCACCTGGAACAGACTCCATCGAGACACAGCCCCACACTGCAGGCCCAGCACTCCCAGCTCCAGCTGGTGAATCTGACCAATTTCCGGGGTGACCTTGGCCCTCAGCAGATGGGACCCCCACCCCCTCCCCTGAACCCAGCTTCCGATCTTGATGGACCTGGTCCCTCCCTGGGGTGAACTCCCTGTCCTGACCTTATCCTGAATAAGGGTCTTGGATCATCAGACTCCTGGTGTGGCACGACCTCCTTTGCTCCCAACTTCCCTAGCGCTCCTTCCAAAAGAGACTCTTGTTCCCTCCCGATGTGAGCCTCAGGTTGTCTCCTTTCCAACAGGAACCTCCCTGACTTGTCCCTAGATGAGAGCCCCAGAACTGGACCCTCCTCGGCCTTGTCCCACTTACTTGCTAGCCTCAACCGAACACCTAGGCTTCTCCCAAACCCAGACCCTTCATGTTCCTTGCCCTGTGCCCTCCCTGCTGTCCCTTCCCGGTCCTTCCAGGTCCCAGTCACCTCCTCACAACGCCTACTTCTCTCCCTGCAGAGACCTCCCAGTGGCTCCAGTCGGAGGTAGAGCACTGGCTCCTGGCCCAGTCAGGCTGTGACGTGGCCTTCAACGGAACTCGGGCCCTGACCCACCTGCAAGCCCTGACCCCCAGCATCGGGATGTTCCCACCCCCGGGCTTCCCCAAACTGGACCCATTGCCCACAGTTATTTTCGAGACCCCCCAGCCCGCACCCAGCAGTGACAAGCCCTGAGCGAAACCTCAGCCCAGCCTCGCTCAGCCACCTGGGGAGGCACAAAGCCCCGCCTCCTCCACGATAAGCTGTCAATCAAAGCTAGGCTTCGCCCCGCCCTAACTTCCACTCACCCACAGGCAATCACTTCCGTTACACTGTAGTCTTAAACAAAGCTAGCAATTAAGGCAGCCTACAGTTGCTAGGCACCCCCCCCCGAACAGCCAATCAAAGCTTTTTGGCTTGGCTTCCAGGCCATCCCTTAGTCCCACCCCCGCCGTAAACATCCAAACATGGCTTGGCTGAGGAGGAGTGTCAGCCAATCACAGCTGTTCAGTGTTACAAACCACTAGGCACAGTGGTTAAACTGTGCCCTCCCGAGGCCATAGATCACTGCCTTTTTAGCCCACTCCGGGCAAAATGCCCAACACGTTCACCAAGGCGGAGCCCCCGTCCACAGCCAATGGGAGCCGGTTAGCCCAGCTCTCTGGCCAACTGCCAATGACAGCTGCTGGGCACTTACCAACCTTAGGCCGCCAGTTGTCGCCGCACAGAAGCAACCAATCAATTTCTAAAGGAAACCCGATCTTTCTATCAATTGCCGCTGCTCCTCAGGCTGACTATCTGGTCAACCGCTGATCAGCTGGTTCAGGCTAAAGGGGTTGGGGGCCTTGGGTCAGGCAGAAAACCGTGGGTCAGGAGGAATCAGAGACCATCCTCACTCCAAGACTCATTTCCACTCAGGCCCCAACAACCTCAGGTACCTTCCCTGCCCAGGTCCCTCACCCTTTCTGCAGAAACTACCTCGGTCTGGATCTTTCTTCCACCAGTGGCCTGTGCAATATTTATTGGTCTATCAATTTCTCCCCTATCCCCTCTCCCAAAGGAATAAATCATGTTTAATAAATCTGGATGCATGGGATAGCTGCAGGAGTTGAAGAGAAGGAAAGCATCAGAGTCCTGGAAAGAAGAGACCGATCTCGGCGGGGAGGGAGGGGGCGGGGGGCGGGGAAAGCATTTGGGTGGGGCCTAGGCAGAGAAAGCTGTAGTCCTAGGGAGAGACTGGGTTCGCAGTTGGTCAAATAGACTGGCTGCGGGTAACAGAAGAGGATTTAGAGAAGACCTGGCTCCTGAGGAGAGGCCCTGGTTCCCCAAAGACTGGGTCTTATGAACAGGGAAGATAGGACAGCCATGTGCGGTCGTGCAAATTGTTCACTGCACAAACCCACACAGCCAAGGCACGGGCGGATGTAAAATCCAGCCATCCCCCGCCCCCCACATGTGTCCTGGTGGGGCAGGGTAAGCCTGGAGGGGGGATGGAGGATGGCATCTAATTTTTGCTAAGGTGTCGAATTGGGTGGAGGAGGGGAAAGAAGAGGGGTTGGGTCCTAATGACAGAGGTGTCTGAGTTCCAAGAGGGAAACAGAAAATCTGTCTTCCCAGAGGTGGGCGGGGTGGGGGGTGGGTGGCGGCGGAGACCAACAATCTAGAACAACACACACCCTGCCTGGTTGAGAGAAAGACACCCTTGTACACGGAGGAAGAGGACAGGAAACCCACATGCCTGGTCCTTCCCCACAAGTGCCTAGAGGTCTAGACTCGGGAGGAATCCTGAGGCAGGAGGGCCCAGGGCCTCAGGTCTGTGAAAGGAGAAAGGCGGCTGGGACCCCGGCTTCCTGTGTCTTGGTTTAGAAGGGACTGGGGGCCTGGAGCTGGACATTCTGAAGGTTGCCGCTGGAGGGGCTGTCCCAGGTTCAGGAAAGGTCAGGCACGAGCAGCCTGGGCCCCTGGAGGAGGCAAGGAGGAAGGAAGGAGGCAAAAGCGGAGCAAGAGGTTAAACGGTTTTATTTTCTGGAGGAGGCCGGGGGCGGGGGCTTTGGGGCTGAGACGGAGGGGCCGGGCACCGGCAGAGGCGGCAGGGCGACGCGGGGCCCTCACTCCCGCTTCCGCAGGTGGATGTAGATGACGCCGCTGGCCAGGGCGAGGGGGAAGGCCACCCAAGCCAGGGCGAAGCAGTAACCGAAGCTGCCCCCGGGCAGCCGTTCCGCCAGGATCTCCTCCGCGTGAATGGCGTAGATCAGCGCTCCAGTAAACACCGCCACGCCTGCGGGGAGACGGGGACCAGGTGTCACGCAGTACCGGCAAGAAGACTGCATTTCCCAACAACCCACGGGGCAAAGAAGCCGCGGGAAAGCCAGGGCTCCGCACCGCTGCCTTCTGGGAGTTGTGGTTCGCTCCCTCAGGGCCCTGCAAGGAAGCTACCGCATACTGTCCTTGGGCAATTTAGTTGATCTAGCTGGGTGCCCTTTACTCATCCATAAAATGGGAGATACTATCCATCCATCCATTCATCCATCCATCCACTCAGCCCTTCAAGGGATATCTTTTAGTGCCTTTCTGTGAGCCAAGCACAAAAATAGTGAATTAAAATGAGAGGGACTTTATAGGAACCTAAGAAGAGAATATTCCAGAAACTGAGGACTATGATAACTTAGCTCTCTGCACCTGAAGTCAAAAAGTTTTAAAGTATATAAACTCCCTGAGGTGTCTGATACACAGTAGGTCCACCAGAAACAGAAGCTGGCTGCTATTATAAAATCACTACTATTATGATTCAGAGTTCTCTCCTGGAGTATTACTTAGCCAACCATCTCCACCCCCCCCCCCTTCCCTGGGATCTAAATTATTTACTCACACCACCGTTCCCAGCCCCGGCTCCTTGAAGCTGTAAGTGTCAGCTTCGACATGACTCAGAGACGCACACCACAAACCACTGAATCAGTGAAAAGGACAACTCTCTGTAAGTCCCCAGGCAGAGAGGTAGCCTATGGAGGCACTTCAGGTGGTCCTTGGGCTGTTGATACTTGTTTTCTTTGACCCGATGTCCATTCTCGGGGCCCCCCACACCCGGACAGTCCCCCTCCCTTCCCTTCAATTCCCCGGGGCCCGTGCTCACTGGTGCAAAGCTGGCAGAGGCCAGTGGCATAGAAGAGCCCGCCTCGCCGCATGGTGTAGAGCTGGAACATGAACAGGATGAAGGACAGGCAGCAGAGGATGAGGGAAAGCACCATGAGGACCTGAACCGCCTTCAGCCAGCCTGCAATAAGGAGGAGATAGAAGTGGAAGTCACAGTAGGTCCAGAATTCACTGCCTCACCCCATTTAGAGCCATACAACTTTGGATGCTTAGGAGTATCACTTACATTGACTTTGATTCCTATAACTTTGTTAAATTCCCTTATCAGTTCTAGAAGCTATTTTTACGATGCCTTAGGATTTTCTACATGAACATGTCCACTGGGAATAGAGACATTTTTACTTTTTCCTCTGCCTTCTTTATACCTTTTATTTCTTTTTCTTGCCCTGTTGCACTGGCTACCTCCAGTACAACACTGGAACAGAAGTGGTGAGAACAGAAGTTCTTGCTTTACTCTTAGGGGAAAAGCATTTAATCTTTCATTTTCTTTCACTTAGAAATTTAGAAGGATACAGCTCTTATCCTTTATAACTCAGATGCAACAGCACCCTAACCCCCCAACCTTGTTCAGGACCTTGGAAGGATTCAGCCCCACCCCTTTAGAACCTTAATGTGGTCCAGCTTCAATCCCTTGGAACTTGGACAAATTGGTCCCCGACATCCATTCCGAACACCAGTCCCATCTCCTTAGAACTTTGGAAAATATAATCCTACCTTCTCAGAATCTTGGGAGCTTTCTCCCCATTCCTTAAACCTATAGCATGTGGCCTCCACTCTTTCTGAATCATAAAGGAGGGGGGCTTTTAGTCCATCCTCTCTAGAACATGAGCATATTGCCCCCTACCATCCAGTTAAGAGGGTCATAATCAGCCCCACTCAGCACTGGGGCCCAGACCTGCCCACTCAAACTCTGAGGGGTTCCCTAGTTCTTGGTCCCGTGGAGAGACCTGGGGTGACCCCTCCCCTTGCAGACTGGTCCCCTATCCCCCCTCACCATTCTCGCTGACGTTACTGCAGGCCCACGTTTTGTTGTCATTGTTCCACGTGCAGTCATACCAGAGATTCAGGGACTCCTTCCCCAGGAGGGTCCACCAGGACTGGGGTGGACCGAGAAAGAAACAAGGGTAGGGTTAGGAAAGGAAAGTGGGCGGCGTCAGGGGAAAGGGCGGGGTAGAGACACGGGAGGCAGGACTCAGAAGGGTAGGTGTTAGGGAAAAGGGGTGGGGCCCGAGTGACGGTGGAAGAGGGGCGTGGCAGGGGTCTGCAGGACAAGACGCCCCGCGGCAGGAGTAGGCTTACCTTGTCCAAAGTGGCCACAAAAAGCAGGATGAGAATGAGGATGTGAAGGGCAGAGACCACCAGCAGGAGGAGAGACATGGCTGCAGTGGAAGCCGGGTCTGGGGCGGGGGGGGGGGGGTCCGGAAGTTGTTGTTTCAAGGGTTGGCACAGGGGCGGGTGAGATGCTCCAATCCTGGTGGAGAAGGGGGCTGGGTCCAGACTCCTGGGGGTGATGGAGAAGAGTGCTGGGGGCCGTGACTCCTGAGTCTGAGCGGGGAGGAGGCTGGGGGCCCGGACTCCTGAATTCTCCGGGAGAATACTCACACCGCCGTTCCCAGCCCTGGCTCCTTGAAGCTGTAAGTGTCAGCTTCGACATGACTTGCTCTTGGAGCAAGCCAGGGATGGACTCTCGGGTCCAGGGGGGAGCAGGACTAGCAGTGTGGCCTCCTGTCTCCTCAAAGTCCTGATCCTGGGCACATATGGGCCAGGATATGAAAATTCAAGCTGATACCCCTCCAGAGTCATCAGAAGCTGGGGGCTCCCCCAGAGACAGGCATCCTTGATTCACCCCCCTCCTCTCCTGGGGTGGGGAGGAGGGGGACCCAGTGAGTCACCCAGTGACTCATCCCATGCCCCTGCCTCCAAGAACCAGGGAAACCCCAGTCTCTGGCTCTGCCCACGAGGTCCCCACCCCACCCTGTTGCCAGACTGGTGCCTGCTGGACATCTTGTGGGAAAAATGGGCGAGATCCATGCTGGGGGTGGGAGGTTGGGGTTGGCAGGGGGAGGCTTGACAAGAAGGAGCCAGCCTCCCAGGACCCTTCAGTGTCCAGAAAGGGGGTGCCTGGAGTCCCCCAGACGTGGGGTGTTCTCTGGCAAAGCCCTGATCTCAGGGTCCTCAGGAGAGAGTGAAGAGCCATGGGGAAAAACTAAAGGAAGTTTACCAGTGGAGGGCTCTGCTGAGAACCCCAAATCCTTGCCGGCCCCACCCCTTCCCGAATCTCCACCCCAAGTGCTAAGAGATCACTTCTTAAATTACAATGGTTTCCACGGGGTCTGAGAGTGGGGGCATCTCTCCGGGCCTGGGGGTATCCTTCCCAAACTGCTGCACTCCCAAGTAAATAAAGAAATCCCAGTCCGAATAACGGGCTGGAAACTTACCGAGAGCGGCAGAAAAAGTCAGAGTTGGAGTCTCGTCCCTTGCTGGGGCCTCCGTGCCCCGCCCTTCTCCTCCCTCCTTTCACCCTCTCGAGGCCCCCCCCCCCCCC